GTCGCTGCCGCCGCCGCCCCGGCTCCCGGCCCGGCCCTCGCTGCTGCCCCGCCGTCCCCTCGGCACGCCCGCCCGCGCCCCGACCTCGTTACCTGCTGCCACCAGGAGCAGCATGGACGGCGCGGGGGCCGAGGAGGTGCTGGCACCTCTCCGACTAGCCGTGCGCCAGCAGGTACCGGCGCTCCTCCGCGGCCTCCCATGCTTCCCTCCCCAGGATCCCATTCATCTGGCCAGTTCCCTCGTCCCCGGCGTCGTCCTCGCGTCCCCCACTGTGGACCCGAGTCATCCAGGCGCCGTCCACCGTCCCTTTCTGACCCTCTCCTGGGACGGCTCCCTGATGTCCTCCGTCCCGATCCTGACCTCCCTCTCCTGTCCTTGCTTCTGCCCGCGCCGCTTGGTCTCCGACGGGCCAGCATCTGTGACCCTTTGGAATAACCGGAACTTGGGTTTTTGCTTCTGTGCTGTGTCCTTTGTGCACTGGGTTCCCGATTCTTTCATTCTTTCCCTGGTCAATCAAGAGCGAAACCGCGGTTCTGTCTTAGAACCAGACGCCTTAGTCTTTAGGATGCTTTAAATAGGGTTTCCTCCTCCTCTCCCTCCATTCCGTGCTTGGTTAGCTGAATGATCGACCCAGAAGATGGAAAAGCTTGGAACGCGGATATGGCGAGGTGTCGAACTTTCTGTCTTAAGGATGTGAATTCATCATCCTTAGCGCCTGTCATGTTCTCTGGCTTCGGAAAAGGCCACTTGGAACGAGTGAACTTTCAGATCGTAAAGTCGGGGAAGGGTCCACGTTGCCGAATTACTCGGTCAAGTCAGCTATCCTTAGGGAACATTCTGAAATTTGGTTTTGCAGGACGGAGGGAGGTGTCATGGGATGGGAGACGTGGTGATTAATACGGACTCCATTTCCTAGGGTGCTGCATGGAGCTCAGTATTTAGAGAGACAAGGAAAAGATTACTTGAAGCGAGTCCCCCATCCAGTTAGGTAGAGCCGGAAGCTTACAGTAGGACCCCGGGGATCCATGACCTAGTAGTAAACACTAGGCGGGTTTCTGCTGCCCGGGCGCCTGATGCAATAATTTGCCTTCGCTGCGGAGGGTGGAACTCGGTCTCAGAAATAATTCCCTGGGCATAGTTAGCTGCTGCAGATTCAACAAATTCTGCCCCTTTGCAATCTCGTCTTCTCTAGTTTGAGCCGACTGATGTAATAGTATTTTATTTTGAAATTTCACAATGGGCCCAATTTTTTTGTTTGTTTATTATTGATATTAGAATACTGTAGGCTTATACTGTCTCCCTCCACTTACCCTCCCCAAATTAGGTGTGGCTCCTTTGTCTTCCCTAACTCTTTTTTTTTTTTTTTTGCACCCTTCCCTTCAGAAGGGAGAATACATCTAATTTAGAAAAACACACACACCCAAACCCCTCCCTCTGCCACGTTAGCCTGGAACTGCAGTGCAAAGTATCCATCTGCAGTTAGACAGGGTCTAGGATCTGATTGTGTTGTTCATGTTGTCGTGATTGTGAATCAGAACTTTTTGTATTTGAAGATAGAGTCTCAGTATGTGAATTAGTTTATGTAAGTTGTTTGAGTTCTTTTTCTCCTTTCCCAGGACCTGATGTCTATCACATAATTTGTTGCCTGGAACTTTGAATCATAGTGATTCTGTGTCAGCTGGGAAGGAATTTGAAAGAAGATCTAGTTAAACCCTTGTACACGGCAAAATGGGACACACTGCGACCTTCACGCATTTTGCGTGTTTCCGTTGTGAAGTCTGCAAATCGCAGCTCTCCCTGCAGTGGGATTTCTAAGGTGCTTGCTCCGACATGTAGTTCATGTAATTGTGCTAATCTGGAAAATGAAGGAAATGAGCCTCTTGCTACAAGAAGACAACGGATGGTGTTTGTGGCCGATAATAAAATTCAGGCTTTGGGGAAAGGTAGAATTTTGGGAAACTTCTTACAGTGAGCTTGGCAGTTTCACAGTTGTTAAAGACTTGAGATGAATGCTGGTGTTAACAGATGTGCGCTTTTTAGATATGTATGATAAATGGGTTAATATTCGGGAGAGCTGCATAACTCAGTTAACTAGTATTTTCCAAAGGACCAATCAATGCAGGATGTTATGAAATCAGATACTGGTGAAAGATCCATCCAGAGTCTTGAGATGAATCTTGACATGCATAATGACTTTAATGGAATAGAATATGAAAAGTTTATTGCTGTAGTTTCTAAGTTAGAAATAACGTTTTAGGAACTTCCATTTGTCAGTTTTGATGTAATATCAAAGAAGACTAACCAGAGGGATCTGAAAAGGCTTTAAAAATTTTCTTTCCTTTCCGGGTACTTATGGTTTTCTTCATATACTTTACCCGAAATACCGTATTGCAAAAGAAGCATATATGAGAATCATGTAAAATTATAAAGTTGTTATCCTTCTCACTGTTTTTTTATTTTAAAAGATACCGTTATGCTCACAGAGATGTTATTTGAATGTATGTAGCACATACTGAGCTTCTATTACTTTTTTAAAAAATTTTTTACAAAAGATCTTTTTGTTTTTGGAGAGGTTTTTGCTATAGGGTGCGTGCGCTCGCCAGAAAAACAGAGAGACAGAGACAGAAAGTGAGAAATCACCACCCCCACCCCCACCCCCGCCTAGGAGAATGGCCAAGCTGCAATCCCTTCTCCATTCTCCTCTTGGGATTTTGGACATGCACACACGCACACATGCCTGGTGTGAGTTTAAGCCGCCAGGTCTGAGACTTGAACCACGGTCGACTACATGGGAGTCCAGCGACATAGCCATTATGTCAATTGCTGGTCCCACAAAAGATCTTTTTTAAAAAAAAAAAAAGAATCATTGTTTATTTAACTTTATTATAATTTGACAAGAGAGGGACAGTGAGAGTGATAGAAAGTGAAAAAACAAGCTGCCAGGTCCAGGACTTGAACCACGGTCGGCTATGGGGAAGTCCAGTGCCCTGAACTACCACACCACCTGCCGGCCCCAGGCTTCTATTATTTTAAATGAATTAATATTTTTTAAATTGCCATTAATTTTTTTTTAAGTTTATTTCTTCCATGAGAGGAAGGGAAGAAGAGAGAAAGAGACAGACAGACAGACCCTGCATGGGGAGAGAGAGACAGACCGTGGGTGGGGGTCTTACCACTTGGCAGTCCTCCCCCGTCTTTCAGCCAGCTACGCTCACAGTACCCATAGACAGGCCTGGCATGCTTGGTTCACCAGGGATCTGAATCCCCTGTCTTCCTTTGTGGCTTGAATGACACAGGAGCACCTTACTGCTTGTGCCACTGCAGCTGGCCTGTTGTAATCAATTTTGTATTGATGTAAATAACTCCCATAAGCAAAAGCTTCTGGGGTCAGCAGTGCCTTTTAACAGGGATAGCTGTTCAAAACCGCAGTTTTAGAACCTCCAGTTTGGGGGAACAGTTGTATCTGTTTATAAAGACAGGTTTGGGCTGCTGTCTGGAACGTAGGCCCCTGGAACCTCCCCTTCCCCAACCTATTTTTCCATTTATAGCTAAGGATTCTTTCCTGTATCTCACTGTCTTTACTTTCTCATTTTTCCTTTCTTTTCTGTCCACTGCACTCTGCCTTTGGTCTCCCACTGTTCTTGCCTAGTACCCGGAAGGGTCCTTTCCAGGGATCATTGCAGTTTACCTGTCTTCAGCAGTTCCCTGGGGGCTGCCCTCTCCCGTAGGCGTTGCCCCTCCCCTTGACTTGCTGTAAACAGTGAATGAGATTGAGTGGCTGAAGAAGTACAGGGTTCAAGGTCTCTTAGTGCAGGTAGGACGTGTTGAGATGACTTGTACTTGATCTGGAGTCTTAGGGAGGAAGTGGAGTAGAGATTCGATGAGTTTTCAGTATCATTACCTGGACTGAAGAGGCCACTCTGGAATGATTTAGGTAGATGTAGCTTAATGTGACTTAACAGAGTAATTACTGTGGGGGACAATAACCAAGAAGGGCTCTTTTTTTTTTTTTTTAAACCTGTGGTGAAACTTAGTAATTGTCAAGGTAGAAATTGTTTTAAAGAACTGCTAGGGGGAACCAGCAGTTCGCGTAATGGCTATGTCGCTGGATTCCCACGTAGTCAGCCGCGGTTTGTGTCTCAGACCCCGTGGCTTAAAACTCACGGCGGGGGGGGGGGGGGGGGG